GTTTTTTGAACATTAAAGCATGTCAACATATTCTGTTACACCAAATACACCAAATAATTATCTTTAAAAAAGCATCATATGACCCCTTTAAGACTAAATGAAGAAAAATGGACATGTAAGACATATTTCAACAAAACAAGCTTAGTTAAGACCCAGTTCATTTAGTCACAAAGACAATAACACATGGATGAGTAGAGAGGTAAAGTAGGTACTTGGAGTGTTAACGGTTGATGGGAATCTGGGAACAAGGGATTGTACTACACTCTTTACCTTCCTCCATGCAGGGACTGGAGCCAACCGCACTGACTCTTTCAGAGAGGGAGCGGCCGGAGAGGGGGTCAGTATGAGGCATGCATTTCATTGATAAAAGAGACAGTAAAGACATTTAGCTACTTCAACTCAAACAGACAAGAAACTAGCTTTTGAAACAGCATTAAGACTAAATGAAGAAAAATGGACATGTAAGACATATTTCAACAAAACAAGCTTAGTTAAGACCCAGTTCATTTAGTCACAAAGACAATAACACATGGATGAGTAGAGAGGTAAAGTAGGTACTTGGAGTGTTAACGGTTGATGGGGATCTGGGAACAAGGGATTGTACTACACTCTTTACCTTCCTCCATGCAGGGACTGGAGCCAGCCGCACTGAATCTTTCAGAGAGGGAGCGGCCGGAGAGGGGGTCAGTATGAGCCCCAGATCGGGCATGCAGTCCCCCTGTAACCAGTGAAGTGACCAATGGAAAAGTGAGGAAGTGCCAAAGCCATTAACATCCATTGGAGTGAGAAAGAGAATGGAAAAGAACAGAAATGAGAAATAAGGATAGGCATGCAGAGAGAAACTGAAAGTGAATGACTGAACTGACTGCAGAAAAAACACCTGCAATGTGCATTGCAATGCATGAATAAATAACAACTATTAAAAACATGTGATCAGGTACTGAGTTTGAAACAAATTCATGCAGGAAGTAGAAGGAAACAGATGAATGAGCAGACATCCAAATGAGTCAGTCCATGCATGAGCCAGACCACAGACACCTGAGAAAAACACTACCGTTTAAAAGCTTGGGGTCAGTAAGATTTTTTATTGTTTTTGAAGTATTTTATGCTCACCAAGGCTGCATTTATGCAGTAAAAGAGAAATATAGTTACATTTTATTACAAAATATATTTAATAGGATGGCAACACTGAATTTCCAGCAGCCATTACTTCAGTCTCCAGGAAGCATTTCCTATTATCATCACAGTTGAAAACTGCTTAAATTGGGCCACTTAATATTTTTGTGAAAACCAAGACACATTTTATTAATAATTCTTATATGAATAGAAAGTTAAAAAGAAGAGCCTTTATTTGAAAAAGAAATCTTTTGTAATTTTACAAAAGACTTTACTGTCATTTTTGATTGATTTATTGCATTCTTTCTGAATAAATGCATTTATTAATTTTTTTTAAACATTCTTACTGACCCCAAGCTTTTGAACGGTAGTATACAAATAACCTTTTATCTTGCATGGCTCCAGTAGATAACAGTGTCAAACTCATCAGCCTCACACTGCTGCAGAGCACAAAGGGTTTAGCTTCCTACAAAAAGCTCCCAAATCCTCACTCATGCCAGTCATTCCTGCTGGCTACTCCATTAGAATGGATCACAACATGAATCTGAGTAAATTTCCTCTATAAACCTGATCATTTCAAACAATCCCAGCATGCTGTGCACTTCAAACATCAAGTAACAGCAGTTTAGGACAGGATTCGTCTCGCTTGGTTTAACAAACCTGGGCTTTATAACCATATGGGCTTTTATGCGTCCCACATAAATAAATAGCATTGCAAAAAAAAGTAATGCTGATTCACAACGTGATATTCTAACACTGCCCGCCAAAAATCAGTTGTCATTTTCATGTAGTATTTTGCCTATTTCCTGGTAAATAAAGGTTCATTTTTAACTTAAGTTTAAAATGAAACCGTTTCTACAGATTGAAGGAATAATATACAGTCTAGTGTTATTAACTAAAACTAAAAAAAAAAATTTTAAAAAAATGTAATAAATGTAAATACTAAAATTACAGAAGTAAAAATAAAGTAAAATAGAAAAACTAATAAAAATGACAACACATAATATTAAACTAAAATGAAAACTGAAAATATAAAAATAAAGCTAACTCGAAATATTAATAAATACTATAATAGCATGCAAATAATAACAAAATAGCACTGGTACAGTCAGCCAGACATTCCTGCAGAACAACAAACATTTTGTTGCAAATTTTGCTCCAACAAAGCAGTTTAGCCTGTTGCTGAAGATGATGTTTTATTACCACTTGTTATTTTAAGAATTCACAAATGAACGTCCATAGTCATTTTAGGCAGCTACCGTGCAAAAACACAAATTTTAACCCACCTGTCGTTTGAGACCGGTGGACTGCGTCGGGGCGTTCTCCTCAAACTTCGCTAACAGCTGTGTGGCCATCGACTTCACTTTGTTGTTGTTGTTCGCTGCTGCAGCCGAGTCAATTTTACGTTCTGCCAGAGCAGTAGCTATAGAGGGCCTGTCGTCTCGATTAACCCTCTGCAACTCTTCCTGTGATGTTGGAAAACAGGAATGAAAGGATTTGGACAAGTACATACAGTTAGGTCCATATATATTTGGACACAGGCACAATTTGTATTATTTTAGCTTCTGACCAAAACATATTCAAGTTACAGTTATATGAATATGGGCTTAAAGTGCACACTCTGAGCTTTAATTTGAGGGTATTCAACTTATCATAATTGGAGGAAAGGTTAAGGAATTACAGCTCTTTAATATGTACCTCCCCCCTTTTTCAAGGGACCATAAGTAATTGACTCAAAAGCTGTTTCATGGACAGATGTGGGCTATTCTTTAATTATTTCTATATCAATTAAGCAGGTAAAAGTTCTGGAGTTGATTCTAAAAGTGTGCTATTTGCATTTGGAAGCTGTTGCTGTGAACCCACATCATGCAGTCAAAGGAT